ACCCCCCCCCCCCCCACGCCGCCCCTGACAGCAGAGGGGCTCCAGCCCTCGGATCATTTTAGTAGCCCTCCTCTGGCCCCGCTCCAACAGGTCCATGTCCTCCTTGTGCTGAGGGCTCCAGAGCTGGACACAGGGCTCCAGGTGAGGTCTCACCAGAGCAGAGCAGAGGGGCAGACTTCTATTCCTTCTCCCCCACATCTCCCCCCACCCTTTTTTGTTTAGTTGCTGCAAAAGCAAAACGGTTTGCATTTGAGTTGCCAGGACATGATCTAAGGTGGTATTTATCAGACAGCTCATTATTCCAACTAGGCATGGCAAACAGCAAGCAAAAGCTCCAAATGCTAGTAACAGAAATAATCCTACTATTATAAATTTATTGACACAAGTTTCTAATCCAGCGAGCCAAAATATTCCTTCGAATGGGTTCCATCCGTCACTTACTTGCAATTTGTTTGTTAATTCTTTCAAATCTTGGATACTCTTATGAACAGACTCAGAATGATCACTAAGGTTCATACAACACATACCTCTTTTTTTTTATTTTATTTTTTATTTTTTTTTCCCCATCACATTTAAAGTATTTAATGACAAAGCCAGGGTTTCCAGTAATGACTCAAGAGAGCAGGTCCCACTTTTATCCCCCGAATGGCATAAAATAATTTCTACATCTTTGAGAATTTCCAAGGAATTGGTTACAATAGATACCTGCAAGTATTACAATTCTGGCGCATCCTAGCAAAGCCAATCTACCTGAAGCCGTGAAAAGCCAAAATCAGGACTCAATAGTCTTGGTGACTATTAAGCAGGTATCCTTCATTGCAGCACTGGATGCACAGGGGATCGCCCCTCCTAATGTGTGCGCCACACAGGGTTAATTGCACAGTTTACATACCAGTTTTACGTACATATCCATTACATTCCTCAGAAAAGGCAGGGATAAGTAAATTCATTCCTGGGAATCATTTACATATTTTCCTCCCAGTTGCACGTGCTCAGTGATTTGAGTCAGTGGTCTTCAGGGGTCGTTTACTTCATCCACTCCTCTTCTTCACCTTGTCTGGTTTTGTAAACTTCGGCTTTTACCCCCCTTATTCTGCTGTCAGAGCAACACAGCCAGTACCTGCCAGCTCCCCATCCTTGAACCATTCCCCTTTACCTCCGTATCTCATGCTTCCCATCCCTGGCTATCCTCATAAGGACAAAATGCTAGACGTTTTGTCCCCTACATGCCTTCCAAGGCCAGCAACAAGGATAGGCAATTTACTACAAATCTCTCCTTTTTTTTTTTTACTTTTTTCTCTAGTGATGCACCTTCCACACACTGTTAGTTTCTTATCTATGGTTTTTCACCTCCTGTGGTTAGTAAGTTAACCTAAACCACAATGTTAGTACTTTAAGCTGGATCCTCCTCAAGGATGTGCTGTTTTCTCAGGGCTATTATCACCTTCCAGCTACAGTTGGCTTCACAAAGGTCTCTTGCTAACCCTTTAGCATCCCTTCATACCTTTAAGATCACTTTTGGGACAGCACATTTTTGTTAATATTTCACATGATGCACAATTTTTGCTAGACACAAAAGTAGCCTTTTCAGACAAAGCTTGCCGTACAAATTCCCAGTGTGAAATGAAATAAAAAGCTTCATACAATCCAGTTCGAATTAAAAAAATAAAGATGTAAAATTTGAATGCGATCATTCTAGCAAACTAGACAGTATCCTTAGTTCAAATGATGTTTTTCTAAGGCCAAGCATCTTTTTACAAAATGGGTATTTCCTAGAGATTTTCAGTTACTTCAGCTTGCAGTAACTAAAATATTCTCAATTACAGAAGCTTTTATCACTCTTACATGCTCTGCTCTGAGGATTTTAGACTGTTTAAAGTGTCATTAATAATGCAAAAATCTTACTCTACATTGAAAACGAAAACTACAGTACATTCATATAATGTCAGCTTTCCGGCTCTTCGGTAAGATGAGGACAAAAATGAAGAGCAGGCATCTTCAGAAGAGGAAGGCTGAAACTTCTGCTAGGATTTCTGTTTCTAGCTCTTTTATTTTTTTTTTCTTCTTTCAAGAAGCATATTAGAACATCTTAAAAAATGTTAAGAGAGCACCTGAAGTAAAAGAGTAGCCTACTTATTTTTGTAAGGGAGTATATTGTATATAGTGAACATAGAGTGAAGTAGGGAGTCACCCTTCCAGTGATAATATTGAAAACTGAGACCCAAACTACAAGTTATAATTCTAATGTACCAAGGCCTGCTTTATGAAAGCCTCCATTTTAAAAATGAGACAACTAGCTAACACGAAAGTCATTCTAATCAGACAAATTTTTGAAGTGTTCCCAAAAATTCTTACCGTGGAATATATGAAAAACAGATGCCTTGGAAAATAGTGCATTCTCATTTACATAGGCCTTTAGCCACAGAATCACAGGTAAAAGGAAAATGAAATGTTATTTTATACCAGATTGCTAAATTCTAGATTGTGTTTGAGGCACAGCTATGCGTGTGTAGATGTAAAAATTACTTTTTTTCCTCAGTTTTGAAACCTCAGACATACATTCTGTAGGTTTCATTATACTATTCAAATAGTCAATCCAGAAGAGAAAATAGGAATATTCAAAATGCAGACCTGGTACCAGACTCCCCTATGAAATTCAGGTATGCCCTTCTGAATGCTGGTGATGGCACATGCAAAACCTCCTACACTGGGCAGAAGAAACAAGTTTTTCTGTTTTCCAGGACAAAGCAGTCCGTTCACTATAGTTACAACCCCGGGTGTTTAATTCCAACATTCGCATTCTCTTGACGCTACATAAAATGAAGAAAAAAATCCCCCTTCTTTGGATTTAATTTCCACACGTATGTCCACAACCAGTTAAATTATTTTCTGTACAACTGAGGAAGAATATTACTATTTTAATCCCGATCAGCTTGTCATTTGGTCCAGTTCCCCTGGTTTTTTTTTCACTCCTTGTAACAACTGAAATAGAGGTAGAAAGTATTGCAGGACTGTGTAGCAATATTAGAAAAGAGGAACAAAAGTAAGTCCAAAAGGTAGAAATGCAACACTTTTTTCCTGCACAGGAACTGAAAGAATGCATTTCCACTGAACTGGAAGAAAAAAAAAAAGCACAGAGAAGTCTGGGTCTCCTGTGAACGTTGCTGAATGCAGCCTTTCCAGTTTCTCTTGGGAAGATTTCAACTTTGGGCAGTATCTCAGTGTTTGTGCTTCATGGCAAGCTCGTGTGCAGTTTCTGCAAACTGCTGAGCACTGTTTTTCAGCTTTTTGTTTTTCAGGTTTGGGTTTCTTGGGGTTTTTTTGTAGATGCAAATGCTCGCTGACATCGGCGTTGGCATTTTCATAAGCAAGTTGGCGTAACAAAATTGGGCAAGCAGCCTCATCGTCGACCTGTCGTTCTAGGGTGTTTTGCAATCTTTCCATGAATTTAATATATGGTTCTCGGGGCTCCTGTCTAAAGGTGGTGAAAGATGTCTCGGGATGCCCCGTGTCCGGAACTCGGCGCAGGGACTGAAGTGCAATATCTTTTATTTGGCGAAATGCCTCACGATCTAGCTGCGCTTGTGCTTGCGGTGCGGCATATTGACCCTCTCCCATTAACTCATTCATGCCAATGCCCTGCGTTCCTGCTAAATTGTCCATGGTTCTTGCCGTCACAAGATCTCTGTACTCAGTGAGCCACTCGGAATACTGCATTGACGATAACGTCATTCAAATTAGCAATTTCCAGTCACAGGTAGTCATACTGTACCCATGTCCTATGGCACTAAACAAGTTAAATGTATACAACGATTGAATGCAATAATTGCAAACTGACTTGTGCAGCTCTTTTACTGCTTCATACAGTAGATGCTCCCAGGACAGAGCCTGGTTACCTTGATACCATGCAGGGAAAGCACTTAACATGTCCAAATCTCCTTTTTTGATCACTTCCCTCCAACACTGTTCCATTATCCCTTGATATTCTCCGCTTTCCTTTTCCCAACTATTTGATTCACTCCCCCTCTTCTGGAGTGGGGGTAGTTCCCCACACTCCTCTCTGGTGTTGTCTGGAGGGTATAATCAGGCTCTTTCTCCGGGTCTATGGGACCGGGATCGAGAAGGTCATTGTCATTTGTGGTCCCCTGGATGGTTCCCAATTGGGCAGTCAGTGCTGGCAGGGCTGAAGGTGGGGGGGAGAGCATGGGCTCCATTGCGGAGCTGCTGCATTGCTTCAGAAGTCTGTCACCGTGTAGGCAAATGTTTGGCGACATCTTTGTCCCCCCGGGCAGCAGCTTCCCACAGCCTATTTTTTTCCAAGTGCCTGCCTCAAACATCCCTGCTATGGGGAATTCCAGGATATTCTTCTGAATCTATGCAAGCATTGTTATGAGGGACAGGGTAGATACATCACATAGAATCATAGAATCATAGAATCGTTTAAGTTGGAAAAGACCTTTCAGATCATCAAGTCCAACCGTTACCCTAACTCTGCCATCCCACCACTAAACCCTGTCCCTAAGCACCTCGTCTGCCCAGCTTTTAAATTTTAAATACCTCCAGGGATGGGGACTCCACCACTTCCCTAGGCAGCCCCTTCCAGTGCCTGACAACCCTTTCAGAGAAGAAATTTTTCCTAATGTCCAACTTAAACCTGCCCTGGTGCAACTTCAGACCATTCCCCCTCATCCTATCATCCATTACCAGGGAGAAGAGCCCAATCCCCACCTCACTACAGCCTCCTGTCCGTCAGTTGTAGAGGGCGATCAGGTCTCCCCTCAGCCTCCTCTTCTCCAGACTAAACAACCCCAGTTCCCTCAGGCCGCTCCATGTAAGACTTGTGCTCCAGACCCCTCCCCAGCTTTGTGGCTCTCCTCTGGACATGCTCCAGTGTCACGCCACTGACTTCTAAGAATTCTTTGCAGTACCTCTACATTCATTTTCTGTTCATTTGTAAGGGAATTCCCCATCGTTCCCAGCTGCTCACCTGCCGTCCTGCAGAGGTGATGGGTGGGTATCAATATTCTTCCATTGGTTCAGCTGGGCTACGCTGCTGGTCCGGACTCAGTGAGTTTCCTGTTCAAGTCCTGATTCAGGCCCCATTTGCAGCATATGGAGGCATGGACCCAGGTTGGAGGTGCAACCAGAATCAGCTTGATTCAGGGAGAGCATGATTTTATACTCTGTGCAGAGTATAAACTTCTGCAAAAAGAAGAGAAAAACTTCTGCAAAATCTTTTGCTCACAGCGGTCCTGTAGGTGCTGCCTACACAACTCTCCTCCAGTCATACATTCTTCTAGCTTCACTTCTGCATTCCTGTGGTTCGGCTCTTGTGACCTGCGTGACTTCTATTCCTTCTCCCCCACAGTTTATCACAATTTTCCCTTCCCCTACTAAACATGCGGTCTGTTCTTTGGAGATGCAAGGATTTACTCTCCAACACCTCCTTCTATTTCTTGCCTGGTCAAACTATTTCATTTCATAGCTATTTGCATGATGGAGACAGAGATGGGAGACCTTTTCTGCAGTTCTTCAGCTCAATCTTCCTCTCTCACCTACTCAGAATCCTGATGGTCAACTAAAGATTGCAAACTCTGAGTAGAGGGCAGCAGTTTGGATGGCAGACAGCAGGTTCTCAATAAGCTGAATTTTTCCTTTTGCTGAAAAAATTTCTTTTTTTGGCAGGTGAACTGAGATGCTCTCCCTCCTTAACACAACTATTTGCTTTCAAGCAGCAAATCTCAGCGTAGGTGGATAATAGCCGCTAAGATTTTATTAGAAATGGTGAGGTTTTATCCCATCAAGAGCATGCAAAGTAGAGTCAGTTGTGGTACTGGAAGGAATGGTGACCCCAGGTGGCTAATTCCTATGGGAACAGTTTAGAAGCATAGAATGTTTTGGGTTGGAAGGGACCCCTAGAGGTCACCCAGTCCAACCCTCCTGCAGGGAGCAGGGACACCTTTAACCAGATCAGGTTGCTCACAGCCCCATCCAACCTGGCCTGGAATGTTTCCAGGGATGGGGCGTCCACCACCTCTCTGGGCAACCTGTTCCAGTGTTACACCACCCTCATTGTAAAGAATTTCTTCCTTAGATCCAGTCTAAACCTACCCTGCTTCAGTTTAAAACCATCACCTGTCACAGCTGGCCCTACTAAAAAGCTTGTCCCCACCTTTCCTATGGGCTCCCTTTAAGCCCTGAATGGCTGCAGTAAGGTCTCCCCGCAGCCTTCTCTTCTCCAGGCTGAACACCCCCAACTCTCTCAGCCTGGCCTCATGAGAGGTGCTCCAGCCCTCGGATCATTTTTGTAGTTTACGTGAAAAGGACCTGTAACTCAGCATTTAGAGTTTTTAAAGGTCAGAAAAAAAAATGCTTACCACTTGTGAGAGCAATTAGTTAGGTCAGCTTTGTGAAATAGGTCAGCTCGCGGAACGGTTCCAGGAAAAACCAGTGCTGCTTCTGCAAGCAACTGACCCAAAACAGAGCACGGGGGAGAAGGGGAGGGTGAGAACGGAGAGACCCAGAAAAGGCGGAAGTTATCTAGGCATAGACAAAACAGGTTTTATGAGGAAAAAACCATAATTAGCATTATAATTTAGATTATTAACATTAGATATTAGCAACAGAGGCGTGGCAATAAAGAAGGGGAGGCACTGTGAAAACTCAGTGGATACCTGGAAAGTGATGGAGGGAACTAGGAGCATCTTGAGCATCTAGAAAGGTGTAGGGGGAAAAGAAGGTGCTGGTGTCTCTGTTGCTTGTTGACTTTCTTCCACTGATCACCAGAAGTCCTCTCTTTCAGCAGAGAGCTGGGAGGCAAAGAGCCTGTCGCATCGCCCGGGTCACCACAGACAAGATTATGAAGATTATTTTTATACAATGCCACAAGACTGAGAAAGATGCAGAAATGGAGTTGCCAGGGAGTAAAACACAGGCACAGCTCCAGCCTTCTTCAGGTCTAGGTTGAACACGGGCATTTTGAAATCCTATGAGTGCTTTTAAGGCTCTTCAAACTCATTTGGTCTGGAGGTCTGAGTAGCAGAGGATATAAGCAGATTTTTGAAGTGTACCTGGTGCAGTTGTATCTGATGGAAAAAAACCCAAAATCATCTAGAAGCTGAGGAGAAAACAAAAATTCACAGATGCCTGTATCAAGATCTCCCGAGACCTGGGATACTTGGCCCCATTGCGTTACCATCTCAAATAAAGCAAAGCAATATTAAATCTTACTGCTTATTTTAGGCATTGCTTATTTTATAAATCCAATGATGCAAGCAAAACCAAGCAGATTAAAGAAAGGACAGCACTATGATCTTATTGCAACCCTGCCCAATTCAAAGCAGTGGTAAATACCCACATAGCTCACTAAAATAAGCAAGCTGTGTGTTTTCTTTCTTTAATTCAACTTTTCTGCTGTGAATCACTCTCACATGAGCCCTCTATTCAAGGGAATAACACTTCATATGGACCTTGCCTGCAGGGGCGGGGGGTGGCTCTAATAGCTAACTAAACTCTGTTAATCAGTATATTGCTTATGTGTCCTTGAAATTATGGTAATGGTGGTTGTAAACTCACATTATTTATTTTTTTACTTGGGAGGAAATGTATTGGGAATTTTACCTTAAGCATGGGATTCTGTACTGAATGAGCTGAAGCTCACATGGCTAAGTTTTGCACTTCAGTAGGCCACTCTTGGCTTTCTTTACAGAATACTTAGAGGCCTATGCTTATTATTTTCAAGAAAAGTCATTAAAGGTGCCAAGCACAAGGGCCCTTCCCATCCTCCATAGCAGCATCCAGCTCTGCTGCAAAGCAGAGGTATGGGGAAGCCCTGGTTATACCACAGGCTAGAAACGACCATCAGAAATTTTTCACCCAACCTAATTATTTACAGTGGCCAAACTGCTATTAAGTGCTTTTTATTTCCCATAAAAGTGAGACAGAGCTGACATGAGGCACACCAATTTTGCGTCTTAAATGGAGCATATTCACAAGGTCAACAAGGATTTAGGTTCAAGTCAAGAGAGTTGTGTGGTCAACATAGTTTTTGAAGTTCCCCCTTGAGTCAATGGAAAGAGTCAACAAGTGTATCTAGAAAGTGATTCACCTCCTCTTCTGGACATCTACATCTACTGGATGAATCACCCATCCAAACTTCTGTCCCTCCCTCCCATCTGCAGACAACCGTTAAACCAACATAAGTAGTTTAAATCAAACACAGGTCTTTTAGGCAGCTATAGCTGGATGAGACAAATCCACCCTAAAAATCCATACTGAATTTGAAAAGACAATTTAAATTGCTTATTTAGTGACTGAGAACAGTCTTCCCTGTCAAACACCCTGGACACGGTTTGTTATATTCTTATTAAATATTCCTTTCACTGATGCTGAGTTCTGTGATAAATATGTGAGGACCATAAAACTGAAAGGGACCTTGAGGGTTCAGTGTTGGGCTAAATCCATCAAACAAATCGCTTTATGTCCTTTATCAACTGATGATGTTCCATCTCAAAAGTTGGAGGGGATGCGGGCATTGAAGGGTACCTGGTGTGTTCCTACCCCTCAGCAGGTACCAGGAGGGTCTCATCCTCCAGTCCAAAGTGGAGAGCAAGAATCTACAGCTCTCCTTCCTCTGTGCTTATCATACTTCTCCCCATAGCTTTCTCCATGAATATTTGTTATACAACGGCTCACCGCTATCAGATGAAGTATATAGGCCTTCAGTTCACACCCACAGAGATATAGGAAATTCCCCGGTTTTCTGAAACACAAAATTCTTTGAATCAAACTCTGTGTTGGACAAACAGTTCTGAACTGTGTGTGCAAGAACAGACTAGTATGAAGACCCCAGTATGATGCAGGGTCCCTAAAGATCTTTCTGTGTGAAAGAAAAAACCCACAAAAACCATCCACCCTCACAGGTGAGTGAGTGCAAGCTCCTAAACCTAAAGGCTTGTACAAATTAGTACAAGAAACATGAGAACAGCCTTGCTGGATCAGGCCAACAGTGCCTCTAGCCAAGCCTTTTGCCTCCAGCAATGGCAGCAGGAGATGCTAGTCCAGGAGGACACATCAACCAGGTTACTTCCAATGCCCTCATCTTTCCAGGTGTCCATGGCTTTTGCGTTAAAGGTTGCATCTCTGCCCATGCCTTTTGGATCCATTTACGGACCTGCTGTCCATCAATGGTGTCATCCCTGTTTGAACCTGTATGCTGGTTTTGGCTGGGACAGAGTTAATTTTCTTCATAGTAGTTAGCATGGGGCTATGTTTTGCATTTGTGCTGAAAACAGTCAATACAGGGTTGTTTTAGTTACTGCTGAGCAGTGCTTACACGGAGCCAAGCCCTTTTCTGCTCCTCACCCTGCACCACCAGTGAGTAGGTTGGGGGATGCACAAGAAGTTGGGAGGAGGCACAGCCAGGACAGCTGACCCCAAGTGACCAGAGGGCTATTCCATACCATATGACATCATGATCAGCAATAAAACTAGGGGGGGAGGCTGGCAGGGGTGTCGCTGTTCAGGGACTGGCTGGGCATGGGTTGGTTGGTGGTGAGCAATTGCTGTCATTTGCATCACTTGTCTTCCTTGGGCTTTATTTCTCCCTGTTATTTTCCTTTTCATTATTATTATTATTACCTTTTATTTCAATTATTAAACTGTCTTTATCTTAACCCATGAGTTTTCTCACTTTTACCCTTCCAATTCTTTCCCCCCATCCTGCTGCGGGGCAGTGAGCGAGCAGCTCTGTGGTGCTTAGTTGCTGGCTAGGGTTAAACCATGGCAACCTGCCAATACTATTGGCCTTAACTCTGGCAGCAAGTGAACAAGGGACGCCTTTTATCTGTTTTAAACTGATGTTCTACTAAATGTCTCTTAGTTCTGTTATTGTGAGTTTTGGTGGCTAATGGTCTGCATTCACCATATCCCTCACCTCCATAGTAGAGTTAGCCTACCCTGGAGGTTAACTAACCTAACCTACCCTAACCTACACTGGAATGGGTTGCTCAGAGAGGTAGTGGAGGCCCCATCCCTGGAAACATTCAAGACCAGGTTGGATGGGGCTCTGAGCAACCTGATCTGGTTAAAGGTGTCCCTGCTCACTGCAGGGGGGGTTGGACTAGATGACCTCTAGGGGTCCCTTCCAACCCAAAACATTCTATGATTCTACCCACATCCTCCCCCTCTCCATGTTGAACAGTTCGAGACCTTTGCTGTCTCTCCTTGTAAGGCAATTGCTCCATCCCCATGATTATTTCAGTTGTCCTTCTCTGGACTTTCTCTAATTCCATTATGTCCTTTTTGAGATGCAGAGACCACAATGGCACCAGCTATCCCACATGTAGGCCCACCAAGGTTTTATATGGCAGCAAAATTATCTTCTCTGTCCCATTCTGAGGTTGTTTATCTTGGAGAAAGGAGGCTGAGGGGAGACCTTATCGCACTCTACAACTGC